AATGAACATGCTTCCTGTCACCTGCTCAGTTCTTGTGCTCCTCTTCATGCTCAGTAAGTACATTTTACCCTAAGCGTTAATGATGTCTTTGTCTTACAACTATGGCAGTCTTTAACCTTCCTCCTCACATAGAATAGTAATTCTTCCTTGTTTGTTTGTTTTTAGGAAGGAGCAATGGAGACTCAGTGACGCAGACAGAAGGCTTGGTCACTGTCACAGAGGGGTTGCCTGTGATGCTGAACTGCACCTATCAGACTATTTACACAAATACCTTCCTCTTCTGGTATGTGCAATATCTCAACAAAGCCCCTCAGCTGCTCCTGAGGAGCTCCACAGACAACAAGAGGACAGAGAGCCGAGGGTTCCACGCCACATTCCGTAAGAGCAGCAGCTCCTTCCACCTGCAGACGTCCTCAGTGCAGCTGTCAGACTCTGCGCTGTACTACTGTGCTCTGGGTGACACAGTGAGGGAGACTGCAGGGGAAGCTGCACACAAACCACAGTGCAGGAGGCCTAGGGGAGCAGCCCTGTGAGGGAGACTGTGTGCTTTCTCTAGTGCTGCTCACCAGCTTCCTGAAAAACAGCAACAAGTCTCAGGTCAAATATCTACAGACCTAGGAATCCGTGGCTATTCTGACAGGACAGGATGGAAGACAGTGCTAGAGACAACCCAGGCTGTGATCCCTTGAAATAACGTTCTCTCCCTAACTGGAAGTCTTAACAGCAAACATCTCAAGAAAAGTCCTGAAGTATTCTCCAGCAATCTTCTGTTATTACCCCACAAATTTATGATGCAAATGAGAAACATAGACTGTAGTCTTTAAAAATCTGCTTCAGTCTCACTCCACAAGTTATTTATATCCTTCCTCTCTTTTGTCCAAGTTACAGAGTTCAGCTCAACTCCCCATCTCAGTTACTAGCCGATTGCTGAAAAGAGACACCATGACCAAGACAATTTAAAAGCATTTACTTGGGAGCTAGGTCACAGTTTCAGAAGGTGACTATCATGTTGGCCAGTACAGTATCAGGCAGGCAGGCAGGCATGGTCCTGGAGCAGCAGCTGAGCTTTTACATCTGATCACAAGCATGAGGGAAGGAGGGACGGAGGGGGGGAGAGAGGGAAAGGGAGAGAGGAAGGGATGGAGGGAGAAAGAGAGAAAGAGAGAGGGGGAGAAAGGGAGACTGACTTAGCCTGGCTTTGGCTTTGAGATTACAAAGCCTACCACCAGTGATTTTCCTCTTCTGACAAGGCCACGCCTCCTGAAACTTCCTAAACAGTCCATCAACTGGGGACCAGACATTCAGATGTTGAGCCTCTGGGGATCATTCTCATTCAAGCCACCACACGCCCTGACAGCCTTTACTTAGTGAAGCTGCTCATGAAATACAGCTGTTGGAGCTCTTAAGAAGAGTCTCTGAGAGACAAGTACTTCTCTGTCATACACATTACATAGGAGGCAGTATGGCCATAACAGACTGTCCAGAAATCCTTTTCCCTTAAAGTCTACTCTTGTAGACTTTGCAGGTACATTAGATCCTCGTGATGTGGTGTACTCACTCATTGGAATCAGGTTCTCTGATAATTATTCTAAAACTGGAAAAGAAAGCCAAGGATTTTATTCATTTCAATTATGTCAACAAAATACTAGTTTAAATTAAAATACTCTAATGCTCGTATTTATTTCTCTGTAAAGAAAGGAATACCTAAAATGAAAACCATAATGTCTCTCACAAAAGATTCATGTTTCTGTACAGAAAGAACATCAAAGAAGTACATGCTGTCTTACTAGTTAGGGAGCACAATAGAATGCCAAATCCAATTTCTAATCCCCTAAAACTAAAACTACTTCTAATGACAGAGAATAGAACATCTCAGATGAGAATTTGTCAAACTTAGAACAAATACTAAATCTAAAAAATCCCAGTGCCATGCGTGGAAAATCCACCTTCAATGTGTTGGTCAGGGGCTTCAGTGGTTTCTTCCAAATGAAATAGGTCATCACCATTGTCCTTGATTACCTCATAGAACTTGAAGGGAAGATATTTTGCTTAGGACACCACACACTTCAGACATAGGACTTGGAGGAATTTAGCTAGAACTGACCTGAAGAATCCTCGCTGAGGATAAGTTCTCATAGTATCTAAATGTGTTATGTAAGATTCCAAAGAAGAAAAGCAATAAATAATTCTACCAAAATGCAGATCCTCTGAACCAAAACAATGACCAACATAAAGATATCCACAAGGGTGGAATAGCAGCATTTTCATCTTGGAAGAAACTAACATATGTCTTATTGGACTTAAGGCCTGCTCCATAGAAAGTGTTTCTGCCAAATACTGTAAATCCAGTCAACTACCCCGGGATGGAGAGGCCATAAACACTAGAGGAGAACCTATGATGGCCACTTTCCTAAATCAATGTAGCTTCTAACTGTATTCGAAATCTATATAATTACACACAGAGATAAGTGTAGTTCTTCCCTCTCATCAAAGAAATTTTATTTTGAAGCATATATAGGCTACTACAATAATGGACAACTGGTCTAGATAGAAAGTAAGTGGCTGTGAGGTCTCTGTCCCAGTTATGCAACAGAGTCCCTTACCCAAGTAGATCTAAGCAGAGCCCAGTGGTATGATCACATGACATAATCTTCAGCTTTTCATTGTATCCAAAAGTAAAACATTTTGAAGACTGTTCTTTACCGCATACCCATCAGTTACAATTTCTATTGGCCTGGTGATGATAAAGTTGCCATAAACATATTTTGGATCTGGCTAGGATGAATGACGGAGTTGGACTTATTCATGAGACCCATGACTCTTCATTGAACACATAGGTGTTGCCATTCAGATTTTACCACCTTAGTTAATGCTGGTTTACGTTTTGAGTATTTGCTTCTTGGTTTCCTAACTCAAGGCCATATTGGTTTATTTTCAGAACATATTTGGTGGGAATCTGTATCTCTTTTCTTCAACTACTTCCAACCTTCTTTTCTTCTCTCATTGTTTGCTGCTACCACACTTGCACTCTTAAATGTTTGAAGAAGATTCTGTCTTTTGTGTTCTGTTTTTGGCATAAAAATGCCTTACTAAATGGTACCTGTTAAGATTCTCAATGACCACATTTTGACAGATCACATGAGAGAGAGAAGAAGGTAGAGAAAAGAAGGGAGAGGGGAGAGGGAGTGGAGAGGAGAGAGGGTAAGGGGAGAGTGAAGGAGAAGCACCTGCCAGTCTGCGAGACTTTTTCCAGGGAAAGACTGTGTGACCCAAGTCAGTACCATTTCCTTCCTTCCCTGTGGAGTTCTCTCAAGACAGGGACTCTTAGTCTCTTTTTTGCACTGGGGCGCACAGCTCAGGCTGACGCACAGTGACTGAGGGTGTCTGAGGGTGGAGCCCAATTCAGCGATGGCGGCAAGTACCTGCAGGTCTACAAGACTTTTTCCAGTGAAAGACTGGGTGATCCAAGTCAGTATCATTTCCTTCCTTCCCTGTGGAGTTCTCTTGCGACATGGACTCCCAGTCTCTGGTGTTTTTGTGTCCACTGTTCAGCCTGGGAAGGTGATCAGGATGGGCAGGCCTGTGGCTCTGGTCTGGTGACCTAGTGCCTGAGTGACCCAGGATTTCTTCCGGGTTCTGGCTGGGGGACCTGAGAGTGGACCCGACTGATTCCCATGCCTTGGGAGTTTCCTCTCACCTGTGAAACACAATCGCTGTTGTTTTAGGGCCCAGAGTTCAGCCGATTGGTCGCTGTACGGGAAATGTTGTCCTACTCCTCAGACACAGTGTTCTCCTGGCGCCACCATCTTGTCATCCACCACTAATGTTCTTAAATAAGAACGTAAATTGCTGCTTTTGGTTTTGGATGTGCTTGCGTCAATCCAACTTCAGTATGACTCTACCTCCTCCCTTCTTCTGGAAGTTCTGGTAACTCTGGGTTCTGAGATGATCTTCATTCTTCTAACACTTGTGGATTTAGTTTATTCTCCTTTATACTGCTGTCCTTTAAATTATGGGGAAAATTGAGAGAATTAGGAACACACACACACATACACTCACCCTCCACAGGCTCATTCATAAACTAAAAACTTGACAGTGAACATAAAACATCTCCAGGAAAGACAATCCCTGGGGAAGGAACAGATGAGAGAAGACCCAAGAGAAGAACTGATTTCTTCCTAGAATCAAAGAAAATGTGCATTCTGATTTAGTCAATGCATTCCATTGGCCCAGAAAAAGTTTTAATGTCAGGTTTCTTTACTGGAGGACCAGTAAAGAAAGCCACCAGCCACGGAAGTCTCCAGGTTTTAGCTCCTTTAGCTCTAGATGTAAAGCTTTCCCATCTGGAGTCAAAACTTCTCATAGAGAGCAGAGGTAATCTAACATCATGTGTTTTCCTGTTGCCTCAGTGCTGCAGAGCATCCACCAATGGCGATGTCTGTACCATCAGACATCATCACCATGGCTGTGGTGGCCATTCACACCCAGCCTGAGACAATCGCATCTGAAGTCTGGGGATCATTTCATAATCTGGTTTCGCAAGGAATATTAACAAGCCATCTATTTCCAGGGAGTTCTATAACTAATACCTCATAATAGATTAAAAAAAGAAGCAATTGCATTGTGAAGGTTTTGCTTGTCTGTGAAATAAGAACACAGCAGGCAACAGGCTGTGGACCCTCCGGACATTTGGTTCCTCGTTTGCCCTCCAGAGGTCGCTGCAGCACGCACTAGTGTTCTTTCTTCCTTTGAAGGTCTTCACCACCTGCTGGCATCTCATCCTTTCTTTGCTGCTGCCTGAGTTTATAGCAAAGGCAAGTGACAGGGATCAGACACTCTAAAGCTTCCAGGCTTGTGTTAGCAGCTTCACTGTTTTTACTTGAACAGGAGACTTCTACAGCTGACCCTTCTCCACACGTATTTTCAAGCTCTTGCTTTCTTTAGCCACATTCCTGCAATCCTGTTCCAAAATGGAGCTGCAGTCTTCCCAAGGCTCAGCCATGCGCCTGGCCATCCTCCCGTTGCTGGTGGTACACTTTATCCTGAGTGAGTACAGCTGCCTTGTGGTCTCTGCATCCTAGGGTTCTGACTGTCCTCAGTGAAGTCTGCCCAGTAATTACTGTTCTACTATTCCTTTCCAGGAGACACCAGAGCTCAGTCAGTGACTCAGCCTGATGCTCAAGTCACTGTCTCTAAAGACGCCTCTCTGCAGATAAGATGCAACTATTCCTCCTCTGTGCCACCTCGCCTGTTCTGGTATGTCCAGTACCCATGGCAGGGGCTGCAGCTTCTTCTCAGCTACTACTCAGGAGACCCAGTGGTTCACGGCATGAACGGTTTTGAGGCTGAGTTTAGCAAGAGGGACTCTTCCTTCCACCTGAGGAAAGCCCCTGTGCACTGGAGCGACTCGGCTGTGTACTTCTGTGCTCTGAGCGCACAGTGTCTGGGGCTGCAGGGGGAGTTGAACACAAACACCCATGGCAGTGGGTGCTCAGACTCACGGTCTCTCTTTGTGGTCTTTGAAGCATCTCTTTCTGTGGCTCTGCTTCTTTCTGGGATGCCTGGACACCACCGGTAGCCGAGCCAGGAAGGAGAGTGTTAAATCTGGAAAGTGTGGGCTCTGCAGGATTGCATTCCAGCTGGGAGTGCCTAGGGGGGAAGACTTTCTCCTAGGATAAATCAGTTACTCGTAGATGATATTTAGTGAAACAGCTTATGCTCGCCTTTATTGATAAAACAGTTCAAGTCCCTGTGTGTTCGTGTGTGTGTGTGTGTGTGTGTGTGTGTGTGTGTGTGTGTGTAACAACTTATGTGTATGCATCTTTATTCCACAGCGAACAAGAGTGGACCTCGGGCACTGAGAAGTTGTGGGGGTGAAAGTATTTAACTGGTTTTGGCTAAGGTGTTGGCAGTGCTCTGTTTTCATCTAGGTGCCAGATATGTGACTACCTGACCACTGTGGGGGTGTCTCCATGCTACGTGATCAGAGGTGGGCATGGTAACGGGGGGATCTGGTTCCACTCCTGCTAGTCTCAAGATGAGATTTTAAATCTCAATTTTGACATTTCTTGGATTTGAACTTGCTCCCCCTTACCAGTTCCATGCCAGTTCTCCTGGTGGCATGGTCCATGTGCCCCACATGTTTCAAACTGGTAGCAAGAAGAGAAGGAAGATAAGACAAGACAAGACAAGACAAGACAAGACAAGACAAGGCAAGTTATGCAGGCCCAGTTCCTTTGCACAATCCATTTCCAACTAAAATATTGACTCCTGACTTGTCTTAGAAGCTCTTTGAGTATTTTCAAAATTATCTAATGCTCAATTGTAATTTTGTAGAATGAAGAAGACTGTGTTATCATCTGTGGGAATCATCTCCTGAGTGGACATTGCTTGGACAGAGGCTATGATTCTTCCCATGGGGAAATACCAAAAGCTGGACTTCCATTTGTCATTTTATGTGTCATCTACACAAAATGTGAAAGGTGCACGCTTCAAGGTTTGTCCTGAAGTTTTCCTTGTCTACTCAGTCTTTCATGCTGATTTTCCTATGAATTCTTCTTTTGGTGCTAAATGTACTGATCAGAAGTGGTCATAATATTAAATACTTCCATTTTGGAAAGAACTTGAAGTTTATTTAGTTGCTATAGAAATTCACCACAACCAGGAAAGCCTAGAAATCTGTCACAAATATGTCAGTTTTAGCAACCATTAAAAATAAAACAGGAGAATAAGGAATTGAAACTCACTGTTTTTTTTTCCAAAGAATTCTTCAAAGCCATAAAAGTGCTATGTTTTTCTTTTCCATCTTAAATTCTTCAGATATGCTTGAGAATGTGTGATGTGATTTCTTCTGCATCTTTTATTACTGCTCATTGATTTCTCTCTGGCGCAAATGATTTTACTGCAAGAACATCAATGTTTACTATCAATTACTATTTTATCCTAACATAATCACATCCTGCTGAAATACAGTCAAGAATCCCAGCGCACAATGAAAATCACCAGCTCCAGTATGGAATTTTAGTTCATCACCTTATGTTTTGCAGAACTGTAAAAGAAGATTTTATACTTTTGTGCATATAGCATAGGAGGATGACAATACTCAGGCTGAAGAGGAAAAGGAAAAGAGAATTTTCTAGCTGCTGTTTGGCCAGAAAATATAGCTCTGTAGGTGCCACAGAACCATGAGCACCTGAGTACAATTTCCAGCACTCACATGAGGGCATGGCAGCTGTGCTGGGGAGGTGAAGATAGACATATTCCTAAAGCCTGGTTCCCAAGCAGCCTAGGCTACCTGGAAGTGCCCAGGGTCAATGAGAGACCTTGTATACAATAAACAAGACAGATAGCTTCTGAAAAGTGATATCCAAGATGGTCCTCTGGCCTCCACATACATGTGCACATATGTATACCCAAACACACACTTGCACACACACACACACACACACACACACACACACACACACACACACTAAAGATCCCCAGAACCTGAGAAACAACACCCACAGTTACCTCAGGTCTCCTCATGAACACATCCACATGCACATACATATGTACACATGTGCTTCTACTTGTCCCCATGCACACACTCACATACACACGCATACAGAAATATTTTAACATGGACACAGACAGATGTTACCTGGAGATTCTAACACCAAGGGTCTATCTTACCTATTACTGTGTTAATCTCTCAGTTTTAATTTTCTTTATAATGAGACGAGAAGGCAGGCTTATTTGTAAACACTCCTAAGACACAATACCAAGGTCAGCATAGGAATTTTCATGGACTTCTTTCCAGTCAACTCACCTGCATCAGGCAGTGGGTTAGCCATTGTTGTCACTCACACTAGGCCTGGTGAGAACTTCAAGTCTGGAGGTACACAGCAGGCCTTCTGCTGTTTCTCATTCTCTTTCCCACACATGACATTGAGATATACTCATGTTCTTATGGGAACCACAATGCAGTACTGTTATTACCAGACAGTACCTGACATACAAACTAGCACACTCAGTTCTACTGTGTCTCGCAACGAGTAGACAATGAATTTTTAGAAGTTAAATATTTGGTTCTTAGTGGGTCAAGGTCCAGGTGAATATAGATATTTGTTTACAACGTTTATTTGGGAAAGGTGTGTGTCTAAAATACTTCAGTCAAATCAACAACCAAAGAGCTTTCACTAAAGGCTTTTTTTTCTGTTTGGTGATACCATGAGACATGCCCCTGCTCTTGCTAGCGAAACCTGTTATGGGAAATTCCCCATGAAAACTGGTGAGACTTGGGGATTGGGCATATTGTTGGCAATGGAACTCCAGTTTTTTCTGTCACGGCCTTTGCATAAAATGGCAGCTGGCAAGCCCTGGAGGGTGCTTTCTTGTCAAGCTTAGCTTACTCTGTCAACTGAGGGCAATTTCGGTAGCCCGTATGCAGCATTGCACTTCTGAGCTGAAATTGTTTAGCTCAAGTGCACACATACATGGCGGGTACACTGTTTTCAGTGGTTGGTGTCCACGTGCCACAAGGGTTTTTAAAATGGTTTCTGAAACTCTGAAGGCCCATGCCATGCAATTCTCCCCTTCTCTTTCAGTGTTCCAAGCAAACTTAAGATGTAGTGGTACAAGCCCTGAATCTGAAAAAAAAAAAAAAAATCTAAGGCTTTGCTAAGAAAGTACAGGGAGACTTCACTCATTTGTCATTCGCATTGGGTGCCAAATACATGAAGTGCAGACTCCACTCTTCCCAGCACCTTAACAAAACTGTTAGGATCATCAGATCTCTAGGTACAAGTCTCATGAGGATTGAGCAAGAACAAGGAAACTTAATTTGGGAGACAGGTGCTCTAAAACAAAGTATAAAGAGAGAATAATACAATGTTGAATATTTTTTGTCTGTATAGTTATGCCTTCAAATTTTTGGCTGTCCTTCATAACATTTAAAAATGGATTCTCGTGTTCATTTTGTGACTTCACAACACAGCACATGTTGTGGCTGAAGCAACACAAATGTTTGTTTGTTTTTAGCTTTAGAGGTAGAAGTCCAAGATGGAGATGAGAGCAGGATCTGCTTTTCCAGAGCACTCTCTCTGTGGCCATTAGTGAGTCCTCTCATGGTCCTTTTCAGAGAATAAGAGGGTCTGTGCTCATCATCTGTCTTATGATCCACCTCTCTGTGTTGATTGGTTTTGCCTTAGTTACCTTTTCATGTCCGATCTTCTAGTATTGTCACCCCAAAGCCCTTTTAGGTCCCCAACATATGTATTTTTATATAGTCACAGTTCAGTGCTTAACATCGTTTTAAGATTAATGCTAGTTGTATAAAAATTTTGAGATCTCCATAATCCAGTATTGTATGAATTTCTGCTGTGCACATGAGCGTGTGTGTGTGTGCGCACACACACACACACACACAAAGAATTCTATTCTATATGCTCAAGAGTATGGTGGTTACGTTTTCTTTCTTTCTTTCTTTCTTTCTTTCTTTCTTTCTTTCTTTCTTTCCTTCTCTTCTCTCTCCTCCCTTCCTTCTTTTTTTGTTTGTTTTCTTGCTTGTTTGTGTTTTGATACGGGATATCTTTGTATCTCTGGCTGTTCTACTAGACTAGGATAGCCTCAAAGTTAGAGATTTGCCTGTCCCTGCCTCCCAGGTGCAGGGATTACAGTGTACGGCAATACTACCTCATGGGTTGTTTATTTTTATATCTTTATTAATTACACTTTATTCACTTTGTATCCCCCCCGTGTTCCCTTCCTCCTCCCTCCCCAATCCCTCCCTTCCTCCACCCTCTGCATGCATGCTGCTCCCCAAGTCCACTGATAGGGGAGGACTTCTTTTCCTTCCTTCTGATCCTAGTCAATTAGGTCTCATCAGGAGTGGCTGCATTGTCTTCTTCTGTGGCCTGGTAATGCTGCTTCCCCCTCAGGGGGAGGTAATTAAAGAGCAGGCCAATCAGTTCATGTCAGAGACAGTCCCTATTCCTATTACAATGGAACCCACTTGGATACTGAACTGCCCTGGGCTACATCTGTACAGGGGTCTTAGGTTATCTCCATGCATATTTCTTGATTGGAAGAGCAGTCTCAGGAAAGACTCCTGTGCTCAGACTTTTTGGTTCTGTTGTTCTCCTTGTGGAGTTCCTGTCCTCTCCAGATCTTACTGTTTCCCACTTTTTCCTAAGATTCCCTGTACTCTGCTCAAAGGTTGCCCATAAGTCTCAGTATCTACATTGATAGTCTGCAGGGCAGAGCTTTTCAGAGGTCCTCTGTGTCAGGCTCCTGACTTGTTCCCTCTTTTCTCCTTCTTCTGATATCCCGCCTCTTTGCCTTTCTGGATAGGAATTGAGCATTTTAGCAAGAGTTCTCCCTCCCTCTTAATTAGTTTCTTTAGGTGTACAAATTTTGGTAGATTTATCCTATATTATATGTCTATATGAATAAGTATATACGGTGTGCATCTTTCTGCTTCTGGGATAGCTCACTCATCCCACCATTTACCTGCAAATTTCATGATTTTCTTGTTTTTTATTGCTGAGTAATATTCCATTGTGTAGATATATCACAATTTGTGCATCCATTCCTCCA